GGAGACAAAGAAACAGGACAAAATTGTCAATGGAAGATATAGAGTTCAGAACCACACTTTTAAGGTCTCTCAAGAACTGTTTAGAAGCCGCCGATAAACTTAATGAGATCTACAAGAAAACTAATGAGACCCTCGATCTTATATTGGGGAACCAACTAGAAATTAAGCATACACGGACTGAAATAACGAATATTATACAGACTCCCGACAGCAGACCAGAGGAGCGCAAGAATCAAGTCAATGATTTGAAATGCGAGGAAGCAAAAAACACCCAACCGGAAAAGCAAAATGAAAAAAGAATCCAAAAAAGCGAAGATAGTGTAAGGAGCCTCTGGGACAGCTTCAAGCGTACCAACATCAGAATTATAGGGGTGCCAGAAGATGAGAGAGAGCAAGATATTGAAAACCTCTTTGAAGAAATAATGACAGAAAACTTCCCCCACCTGGTGAAAGAAATGGACTTACAGGTCCAAGAAGCGCGGAGAACCCCAAACAAAAGGAATCCAAAGAGGACCACACCAAGACACATCATAATTAAAATGCCAAGAGCAAAAGATAAAGAGAGAATCTTAAAAACAGCAAGAGAAAGAAACTCAGTTACCTACAAGGGAATACCCATATGACTGTCAGCTGATTTCTCAACAGAAACTTTGCAGGCCAGAAGGGAGTGGCAAGAAATATTCAAAGTGATAAATACCAAGAACCTACAACCAAGATTACTTTATCCAGCAAAGCTATCATTCAGAATTGAAGGTCAGATAAAGAGCTTCACAGATAAGGAAAAGCTAAAGGAGTTCATCACCACCAAACCAGGATTATATGAAATGCTGAAAGGTATCCTTTAAGAAGAGGAAGAGGAAGAAAAAGGTAAAGATACAAATTATGAACAACAAATATGCATCTATCAACAAGTGAATCTAAGAATCAAGTGAATAAATAATCTGATGAACAGAATGAATTGTTGATTATAATAGAATCAGGGACATAGAAAGGGAATGGACTGACTATTCCTGGGGGGGGAAAGGGGTGTGGGAGATGCGGGAAGAGACTGGACAAAAATCGTGCACCTATGGATGAGGACAGTGGGTGGGGAGTGAGGGCGGAGGGTGGGGCGGGAACTGGGAGGAGGGGAGTTATGGGGGGAAAAAAAAGAGGAACAAATGTAATATTCTGAACAATAAAGATTTAATTAAAAAAAAAAAGAAGAAAAAAAAAAAAGAAAATGGCCAAAGAATTTTCTATGAAGTTTGGACACAGAAGGCTGTTCAAAACTAAGTGGGTTTTGTAACTATGTGTGGTGATGGACGTTATTTAAACATTGTGGTAGTCATTATGCAATGTATACATGTAACAGATCATTATGTTGTACACCTAAAACTAAGTAATCACAAGAAACTAGAAACACCAATCAGAAAGGATCTATGCACCCCTATGTTCATAGCAGCACAATTCACCATAGCTAAGATTTGGAAACAGCCTAAGTGCCCATCAGCAGATGAGTGGATTAGAAAACTGTGGTACATCTACACAATGGAATACTATGCCCCTGTAAAAAGGAAGGAACTCCTACCATTTGCAACAGCATGGATGGACCTGGAGAGCATTATGCTAAGCGAAATAAGTCAGTCAGAGAAAGATAAATATCACATGATCTCACTCATGTGCGGATTATAATGAACAACATAAACTGATGAACAAAAACAGATCCAGAGACTGAGAAGCTTGGATCAGATGCTCAAACCTCAGAGGGAAGTAGGGGAGGGTGGGGGTAAAGGAGAGAGATCAACCGAAGGACTTGTATGCATGCATATAGGCCTACCCAATGGACACAGACACCAGGGGGGTGAGGGCATGAACGGGAGTGGGGTGGGGGGGAGGCATGGGGGAATAAGGACACATATGTAATACCTTAATCAATAAAAACAAACAAAAAACCTAAGTAATCAATGTTATATGCCAGCAATATCTCCATTAAAAAACAAACCCAAACCAAGTGGGATCTGGGGTAAGGTGGGCTTCACCCGGCCAACACAGGCCCCAGTGCCCCTTACTGCGGACCAGCGACCATATTCTGTGTCTTCCACACCACACCCTCCAACCCCACGCAGAACGAGCAAGTCAGCTGCGAGGTAGACTGTTCCCATGACTCCTAACGAACCGGGAGGAGTTTGGTTTGGCCACGGAAGAGAGGGCAGCCACTCAAGGACGGCAGGGGAATTGTATTTCAGAAATAAGGATGGATGAACAAATATAACGGGGATGGACTGTCTTCAAATGCAGCTTGGCTTGGCTGCTTTCACTGAAGCATCGGCTTACACCTCTCCATCCCTACCTCGTCCTGTCCTGGGTCTCTCCCACACACCGCAGAGCGAGGCAGATGACAGTTAGGGCCCTCATGTCCCTCCTTCCCTGGCACTGGCGGTGGGTGCTGTCTGTCCTGCTGACTCACCATCAGCATCCACCATGCTGCTGCCTCACCCCATGCTGCCTCCCCCTCCCCCCGCCTCCCATGATGGAAGAGCTGACTGGTCTCTTAGAGTCCAGGGCTGTGTGTCGGTAGCCCCTCGGGCGTCTTTGACTTCAAGAGCTCCAAGGAGATGACTGACTTCCCATGTGGGATCTTCTGGTGAGGATCAGGGAGCCTGCCACACCCCAGTGGTCTTCCTCCACCTCCTTCCTGAACCACCAGAGCATGTGTGAATCTGTGGACTAAAGTGATGGCCTGTGGTTGCCTAAGTGACCAGCGGTCAGGTCCAGAGATGCTCACAAACTCTCGCTTTGATGAGACACCGGCGCCTGGGGGACTGTGTGGGCTGGGCTCTGGAGTCCACCCACAGGAAACACTGTATTTTCGAAGGGCCTGGACACACTCACAGGCACACACGAACTTCAGAAAGTGACAGTATTTTCTTTCCATGTGATTTCCACATAGTGACTCCCAGCCGGCCAGGGAGGGGGGTGAGCACTCTGCTCAGAGGTAGGGTCCTGCATTGCTGACTCCAGCTTAAAGGGAGCCACTGGGGAAACGTGTAGGTGCTGAGTTCCTCACTCGCTCTGAAAGCAAGCTATCGGGACCAGCCCCTTCCGGCCAACCGCAGGAAAAGAGAAACAAACATCCGAGTCAATGCTCAGAAGTGGATTATCAATCATCTTTTTTTTCTGTCCTATGAGTTTAATACCCCAAAGCAGACTGGGACATCCCTGAGGACCAGGCCTGGTCCTTTTCCCTGGCTCTTCCAACCCTCCCCCACAGCACGGAGAGCCTCACTCGGAAGCAGGCTGCGCAGGTGTCTGCAGCATCCCTAGGACGGAACCCAATCCTCGAGTCTCATCTTTGCTTCCTGCCTCTGTGCGGGACTCAGTTTCATAATGAAGCCACATAAATGCATGCGCTGGTGGGCAACAGCTTGGGACCCTGACTGGGCCAGACAGAGTCCAGCCACCTGCTCCACTCGGTCAACTGTCCAGTTCCCTGGTCTGTCTCCAGGACAGCCTGGCCGCTCCCAGACATCCTGCCTGAGTTGGCCTGGCTAGTGTCAAGTCGACAGCCGGACTCTCAGACTCCCTGGCTCTTTTTAAAAAAAAAAAAAAAAAAAAAAAAAAAAAAAAAATATATATATATATATATATATATATATATATATATATATATTTTCATTGATTTTAGAGAGAGAGGAAGGGAGAGAGAGAGGAACATCAATGTGAGAAACATCAACCGGTTGACTCCCATATGTACCCCAACCGGGGATCAAACCCACAACCTGGGTATATGCTCTGACTGGGAATCGAACTGGCAACCTTCTGGTGCTGGGACGATGCTTAATCAACTGAGCCACATGGGCCAGGATGACTCCCTGAGTCTTGATGGCACAAACATATGCAGGACAGGCGGAGACACAGGGAGGATGACAGGACACCCAGACCAGGAGCGACCAGGCTGGAAAGGGTGGAGCCAGACATCGATACAGATGGGCAGTGACCCACAGACGCAAGCTGCCAGGAACAGCCTCACCAGCCAGGCACAGGAGGAGTAATGAATATTTAAGGCAATGTAGAGTTCATATAAATCATTGTGGCAATTTTTCCCCTGTCCTTGTGTCTACTAACCTGCATCTGATTAGGGCATCCCTGGGGGCAGAGACGGGTCCTTTTATCTCTGTCTCCCCCCTCCCCCTACCCCATCAGGGCTTAGCATACCACCTGCCTGCCTGATTTTAAAGATATACACAAACAGACAAGCAAGTGCCCTCATGACTCCAGACTGCCAGCTACCTGCCTCGCAGAGATGTCTTAGCCTCGTGCCCTTTCCTGAGCCCCGTTGGCCTGCTCACTTGGCCCAATGATGCCGCTTTCCATCACCGGCTGAAGCCCCTTTACAGCCAGGAGGATCCTAATCCTGGGAAGCGTCTTCCCCGCCCCCAACAGGACAAACGGCCAATCACTTTTAAGCCACAACAAACTTAGGACCAAAATTAAACCAAAACGAACCCAAACAACCTGGGTCACCAACACATTTTGGAATTTTTAACAACAGATGACAGTGGCGAGGCGATAACACACATGCTGACCCTTGGATCGGTTCTTGGAGAGAGTTCTGGGTCAAGGCTGCTGGAGGACCCTGTCCCCTAATCCCATGGGCAGGAAGCAAGCCCGTTCATGCCCACAGGACAGGGTATAGCACAGTCCAGCAGCCCCACACCCACCGCGGAGACCCAGTGTGCACACACACCCAGCCCTTTTGTTTGGAGCACAGGGAAACAAAGGTGGCGCCTCCTCCCACAGTCTGTTTCCTGGACTCCCCACAGGGTCAGAAGCGCGGATGCCTCTCCACTGTGCATGCACTTTTGGCTCCTCCTGTCTTGCCGGGAGCTGCAAAGTGTAAGAGCTGAGACGCGCCATGCAAGGTGGGGGGTGGGGGCGAGGGTCTTCTTCCCGAGAGGAGAGGATGAGAATGAAATGCCCATGCTGGCAGGGGACGGCCGGGCCAGATCCCCTCTCACCTGTATTGGTCATAAAGGTGATGATGGTACTGCTGATGCCCTCGTTGTCCCGGGAATAAACTCGCAATGTGTATGTCATCCCGGGATAGAGGTCTGTCAGCTGTATAGGCTGGGCCTGGGCCTTAACAGGGACAGTTTTTTTCGTATGGTTGCCTGGGGAACAGAAACCTCAGTCAGCCCAGGGCCCGGCATGAGGAGCTGGAGAGGCAGTGCTAGGCTCCTGCCACCTGTCGAAGGTAGAGGCCTGGGAAGGGGCCAGGGGCCAGCGGGGCCAGGCCATTGTGCAGACCGGGAGGTCCCCAGGCAGCTCCGACGCCAGCCCTCCACAGAGTGCTGACTCCTACGTGATGGCCCTTCAGCGGGGAACCCTGTCCCCTCTCCTGGGGGTTTCCTTCCTCACCACAGTCTACACACTAAAATATCTGACCTCCTTCCTCAGTCTCTCAGGGTATCAGCCAGTGCTGTTGTCCTGAAGAGGGTCAGAGGGCCAGAGGGCATCTCACCGTGTGGAGAATTCAGGAGAAGTGAGTGCCCGGGTACCCGGGGTGTAGGGTGGATGTGGTGGTAGGAAGCTGAAAAAATATGGATGGAACGCGGGATCCTGGATCCTACGGATGTGAATCCCCTCCGACCACAGAGAAGTAAGGGTTGCTTGCTTTCCCCTCAGAGAGCTTTAGGCGGCCAGCCCAGGGGTTCGCTGGCTTACGTGCTTGAAGCACATGCCATAGAGGCCTACATGGTGGGCTGACCCCCGTCCCCCCAAACAGGGGCCTTCACCCAGAGGAGGCAGACATCCTGATCGCTCTGCAGTTTAGCAGATTGGCACACGGTCCCCAGTGGGAACACCTCGGCTCAGGCCGCCAGCTCCCTGAGACTAATGACCCTGGTCTGTGTCTGACTATGGCCACTGGCATCCGTCTGAGCAAAGCACAGCTGTACCCCAAGTCTGAACCAGCCCCACCCGTCTCGTGGAGACACCAGGAAACATGGATTCGGAGCTAAGGAGATCCATGCAGAGGTGAGGTCTGGGAGGCCTTTCAGAACCCTCATCCTGGGCAGGAGGCGGATGGAAGGCCCCTTACACAGAGCCCCCCCGGCACATGCAACCCTACACCCCACTGATGACTGCAGAAGCCCCTTCTTTCTTCTCAGCCTGGTCCTCCCACCTCACTGCCATCTGAGCACATATCAACTTCACTGTCACAATTAAGCCCGGCTGAAAGGCCTCCGGGCCTGGGAGTTCCGGGACCTCTTTAACGGCTCTACGCTACCCGCCGCCACCCGCACAGCAATGCTTACTGTCAATGTACTCAACCACAAAGTCAGTTCCGGGCCCGAAATTGTGCTTCCAGGTGATGTTGGCCCATTTACTGTTGGGGTGCACCGTGACGTTCCATATGGACTGCTCGTCGGGGGCTGAAGGGCGGGTTAGAAGAGGAGTTAGTGGTGAGGAGGGAGGCAGCGCTGGAGATGGAGAGACAAACAGACAGACAGACAGACATGAGCAGCCAGGAAAGGGCAGAGTCCAAAGTGGCTGTGCACAGGGCCTGGCAGAGCTCTAAGCTGCAGCCTTGGTGGCCAGGCCAGAGGACGCCAACCAGGTACGAGCAGGTGTAGTCGGAAGGACCCGTATGTACGAGGGCTGGAAACTGTGTCCACACAGGGGGCGGCTCACTCCCTTTTCAGGTCACCGCCGTGGATGTGAGCGGTGCAGAGAAAGGGGCCAGGAAAATGCGCGTTGGCTCGAGTGCAGACAGAGGGGGATAAGCGTGCCCACCTCTTTCCCTCCAGCTCCGACGCTCTCCAGCTGTGGTTCTCAACCTTGGCTGCACATTAGAATCACCCGGGAATCTTTTTAAAATCCTGATTTCTGGGCCTCATCCTCCGGAAATTCTGTTTCTTTGTGATGGGGTGAGGCCACAACATTAGTAACAAAGAAACAGAATTTCCGGAGGATGAGGCCCAGAAATCAGGATTTTAAAAAGATTCCCGGGTGATTCTAATGTGCAGCCAAGGTTGAGAACCACTGCTCTACAGGAAGGAGAAAGGGTATCTTTCAAAGTCACTCAAGAGTTAGGATGAGATTTGTAGGAAGGACAGGACCAAGAATGGGAAAACCTTTACGAGCTCCTAAAACTGGAGGAGAGTGGGAACCAGACAGGGGACACTGGTCTGAGGAGCCCCCTGGCGTCATTCTTAGTCACCAAATCCCTGGACTATGTGGAAAATGGCCTCAGGTTGACCAAGGGGACTTGGGGTCTCAAGTAGAGATAGTCTGAACCCTTCCTCTTCTCTCGTGGGCAAGGTGGGACCAAGAAAAGGCAACTCCTTCTTCACACCCAACCCGCAGTGGTCCAGACACCTGAAGAAGCCTGCTCTGTTGGCTTCTCAGCACCACAGTCCTGGAAGCTCGATCTTCATGCAACACAGAGACATTAATTATCGAGTTCCTGTGAGCTGCTTTATCAAAGCCATCGTGCTGTCTGAAACCATAGCCTGTGGACAGGAGAAGGGTGCTCATTGTCAAACATAATCATTTTTCAAGAGTCCCAGCAGTGCGATTACCCCATTTCCGAGCAAAGATTTAATAGTGGAGCAACTAGCATGAGGCCTTGTATTTCAAAGACTTTACAAGTATGGCTGCTGTGTATTTTATTAGCATGCACGGGGGCCCTGTCACCAGCGCACTTGTCGAAAGTAAATGCATAGAGCACATGGGTGATGCATTTATTCATTATCCGTGTGACATGTGACTGAGTCTGCAGGGCTGGGAAGTGATAAAAGGTCTGGTGTTCACTTCAAAGAAGTGCCTTCTCCACTACAAGCTTGTCAGCTGCCGGCTGCCCCAGGTGAATAGGACTCATGTCAGGTGAGAGACCCAGAAAGAGATTTCACTGATGGCCCCACTGGGCATGCTCCATGGGGGGAGGGCAGAAGGTAGGCGGCTCTACTTATCTTCCAGATGTTTCCTCTGTGCTGCCTGCTTTAGGCCACCCCCATCCCAGCTCCGCGGAATCTCATGGCTCTTGCTAGTGGGAATGAATTATGATTAGGGGACTTGAATTTCCTCCTCCTCAACTCTGGGCCCTGGAAATAGCCAGAGAATTGGATTTAACAGTTTTGCCACTGTTATAACATTGCCTCAAACCTCACTGCCTTAAAGGTCAATTAGATTGGAGCACTATTGGAGAAGGTCAAGGGATGGGAAACCAACACAATTTAGAGGTGTTAGCTAGAGCAGTGGTCGGCAAACTCATTAGTCAACAGAGCCAAATATCAACAGCACTTCTTCAAAATAGACTCGCCCAGGCCGGAAACCGACTTCTGCGCATGGGCCACGAAGTTTCAATCGCACTGTACGTGCGCCCACATGTGGTATTTTGTGGAAGAGCCACACTCAAGGGGCCAAAGAGCCGCATGTGGCTCGAGAGCTGCAGTTTGCCGACCACGGAGCTAGAGGAAGGTGTGGCCATATAGAGAGAACAAGATGGTGACACTAAAGAACTGAAAAGCTCAGAGAGAAAGACCAAGAAGAAGAGCGATCGATTGCTAAGGAAACAAGAAGGTAAGGGAGGCGAAGCATGGGTTGTTCTGCTGGTGCCTAAAATGTGAGAATTAGGAAGAATCCCTTGACATCTGAAGGAGATGATACAGAGTCCCATCTTAGCCTGGAAAAAGTAAGCGTTTGGTCCTAAGATGAAAGACATGATAAGGATGAGAATCTATTTTACAAATCGTGGACATGAGAGCCCTTCTGCTGCATTAAGGGACGTGAGGGCACTTGAGGGCTGTCCCCAGGCTCTAAGGATAAGATCGGGGGCATGGCCAGGCCCTCGGCAGCGTCCCTGGCAGTTAGAAGTCGGGGAGGAGTCCCGTGTGGCAGCAAGGCCCATCTTTGCAGAGGCAAAGGGTCTGCTGGACCATGAGACCCACTCCCCTTCCTCATCCTCATGTATTGATTCTGTGAACGCAAAGCTTTCAAGTGGGACGGGAAGCCCCACTTTAATGCAAAAGACACCTCACTGGGGGTCCCCAAGAATATCCATCACCAAATGCTGGTGGCAGCTTCTAACAGCCTAGCAGGTGTCTCCTCAGCCAACTATTTCCTAAAGTGCATGCTGTTTAAATTCTGGGCCCTGCACCTTTAAAGCGAGTCAGCGTTTACAAGGTCTGGGGGGCATGTCAGCTACGAGCCACTTGCCTCCCCTTACAGTTCACATCGCCCCATGTAATTAAAGAAAACACACGTGGATCAGGCCTCCAGCTCAGGCCCAGAGAAGTGGGCAAGGTGGGAGGCAGGCCTCAGGGGGGAAGGGCATTGCCCAGGAAACGGCTGCTGGGAAGGTTCTGGGTGCTTCCCGCCCGCCCTCCGGCTGCATCACATGACTTTACAGCCGCCCGAGGGCTCTGCAAGCGAGAGGCCCTCCCCTCCGTGGTAAGAAGAGTGTCGACGCTCAGTTCTTAGAAATATTGCCGGATTCCCAAGGGGTCCCCTCGTGTGGGAAGAACAGAGCCGCCGGCCTGGCTCTGGGATGCGGGAACAGCACATAATCCGGGCCCAGCGGGCCAGCCTGGGATCGATTCTTACCGGGGCCCCTGGAGAGGCTGTGTTTCCCGCCACCCCCCCCCCCCCGCCCCCATATGCGCCTGTGGAGGCGCTGGGAGTGTGAGTGGGAAGAGCAGAGCACCTTGGGGCAATACCGTTTCCTGGACGCTCTGACTTTTTAGGAGAAGAGAGTGTAAGTGTGGCCTGGGGGTAGAGGGGCCAGGGAGGAGAGGGCTCTGGGAACAGCTCCCTGGCATGGCCAGCCACTGCCCGCGGCTCGGCCCTCCGTGCTGCATGGCTGGCTGTGACATGGCCAGGGCAGGGAGCCTTCCCAGGACAGCTGTCCAGTGTCAGGCCCCTGTCCTTCCCCACACTCTCTCCCTCCTGGAGCGCTCAGCCCTCAGCTGACTGCTTGGCAAATGGCTGGAGGGACCCCTACCATTTGAGACCCGGGGGTCCTGCCCGAGGAGCATGGCCCTCTGTTAAAGGACAGGGTCTGAGGCTAGGGCGAGGGGTACCCCGTGCCACTCGGCTACCAGGCTGACAGCCCAGTTGTGTGTGTTTTCAAAGTGGAAGCGAAGGGCGGTGCTGGCCACCACATCCCAGACCCCTCCTGTCTGGGAAGCCTGTGGGCAGAGGAACGGGAGCGTGGACAACGGGCAGTACCGGATTCATGTGTCTTAGTCTCGGTGGTGGGAGGACTCTCCATGGTGACGGCGGCAGTGGTGGTGGTAGTTGTGGCGACGGTGGTGGCGATGGTGGTAGGTGCGACAGTTGGGATGATGGGGACTGTTGTGGCTTCGGTGGCGGCGGCGGCAGTGGCAGTAGCATCGGTACTGCTCACGGCGCCCGTGGCACCCACCGTGGTCGGGGGCAACGTGGGAGGAGCTGAGAGGAAAATGTAAAACAGCCGAGTCTGGTTGGTTTGGCTGCAGCCGCCTGGACACACGGCCCCCGCGTGCAAGGCAGGCAGCCCCGCGACGGGATGGAGCGCGGGGATCAGCGGCCTCCCCACGCGTGCGGACGGACTGGGTCACGCGGGTCCCCGGGAGAGGACACAGCCATGTGACAGGAAGAGAATGAAGCCCCGCGTGAGTTTCATTTTCTTCTCATGGTCTGTGTGGCTCAAAGCATCCAGCATGCATCCAGCCCAGGGCAGGGGAGAGGACGGGAAGGGACATGGACGCGTCGCTCAGACCTCAAGGACGACGGCATGGGGTCCCAGGCCAGCGCCACCCATACACAGGCCAAGCAGCACCATGTCAACCCAGACCCGGAGCCTGGCCTTGGAGGGGGGCAGACGGCTGGTTCTTGCCCTACAGGAGCACCGGGAAGCCTGCCATTCCCAACCACTCACCCTAAATTACATGTCCGTCCCCACCCCCCGCCGCCTGCTGAGTTCTAATGCCAGAGGATACACTCCCCTCCACGAAGCCTGCCTGGGCCTCTCCCCGTCTCCGCTGTTGACCCTCCTGGCCTCTCCTCCCTTCTCCGCCAGTGATCGTCCCCCCCGCAGCTACCCCATCCCACCCTGGACTGCAGTGACTGCCTTTCTCTCTAGGACATTTGGGGTCCAGGCCCCCCAAGTCCTTTCCCTTTGCATTAGAACAAGGGAAAGGGCTCGGATGGAAGCACCTCCTCCCAGCCCACAGCAGACACAAATGGAATCGCAAGCAAGACACATGCTGTGTCTTCTTTTTTGCACAAACCATCAGGGGCTTTCCATCTGTGCGCACGCGTGCTCTCATCTTCCACCCAAAGCTAACCTTCCCTGGAGGTCAGCCCTCGGGGCTCAGTCCATGTGTGGCCACATTTCCAAAAGCCCTCTCCCTCTACGAAGGGTCCTGGAAGCTAACAGGACTGCCCGACTGCCCTTTAGATCCCATCCTGCTATGGCCTGAGGGCCTGAGAAGACGGATGGGGCAGGTCAAACACAGCCGCGCCTCCCTCTCTGTGGTCTGATCACAGTCCAGCTGCTGGTGTGGATGCTAATGGGGCAGGGGCAGGAGGCCGGATGTTAAGACATTCGTAGGCAGCTCTAACTCCCAAAGAACAGAGGTCCTGCCGCACATCTCCACACTATCCCCCCCACTCCCCGTAAAGGGGGCCAGGCCAGGGAGGGAGCCAGAATGAAAACGGCCAGAGTGCTTTTCTCAGGGGAGAATGGAGGTCCTGAGCGTTCTCAGCGAGAGCCCGACCAACAAGAGCCCTTTCATGCCTGGGCCTCCAATAGGACAAGTGCCCCACAGAGGAGGGACTGTTCCTGGGATCCCTTGTCACTTCCCTGCTTGTAGGATCAGAGGCATTGCTGGGCCCCGAGGGCGCTGACCACAGAAGCCACACTGGGCAGCTGACTCTCACACATTCCCGGGATTCCTGGGCAGAGGCCAGGCTGACGGTGGGAGGTCCCTCGAGCCCCACTCAATCCACAAACATCAGGAAGGTGTGTGTGTGTGTGGGGGTGCGGTGGGGGGGTAATTTCCCTCTCATAGACATTATGCAAGGATATATTCAGTCCCAGGTAGCCCCAGGCCTGGAAGGCTCAGTGCTATAAAAGCTCAGCATAAGGGATTTCATCTACCCCACCCACCAAGACAGGCAGACAGACAGACACATCCACGGGAGAGCCCGAGACCCAGCAGGCAAAGGTCAGCTCTCTCCCAGGCCGGGTCCTGGCGGCGCCCACGGCCACGGAAGCCCATGGGCCATGGACACAACCGCTGCTGCTGATGGGAGGGGCCTCGAGAGGCGTGGGCCACACTGGCCAGGACTGCTCTAACTTGGTGCCTTAAGGCTGTATTCTCTAAAAGTTTCTGGCAAATACAATGTTCACAGGCCTCCCTTTTCTATAATTATTTAAAAGGTGTCATTAAAAAACCCACCTTCAACGACTCTCTTAACTTAAATCCCACTCTGTGTAGCTCAGAGACCTGGGCCTCCCTGCCCACACACAGTGGAGTTACAGTCCCCACGCTCTCCATGCTCTCACGTGCCCCTTGGTCCTCGTGCCGAGTACGCACGCTCACACTCACACAGGCGACCCTGTATGCCCCCGTGAGCGGCCTTAGGGGCGGAGATGCTGAGAGAGGCGGTTAGAGCGAGTTCTCCCTGGGCCTGCAGGTCAGACAGGAATGAAAAGGGCCGAGGATGCTTCCACGTGGTCCTGCCCTCCGCCTGATGGTCCCTTTGCCAAGAGTGACGGAAAGGAAGTGACTCTCTGATGATGGCTACTTGGTTGCCTTTCCTGGGCTCAGAGGCAACAATCTCAGGTGTCAGTGGGAGGGGACCCAGAGGGCGTGAGAGGAAAGGAATGCTTTGCTTCCCAGGCATCACGGGAGTCACCTTGGAGGTTTCAAACCTTAGCTGTCTGAGGTCACAACAGGCAAATAAGCACTCTGACCACTCACGAGCTGTGTCTGCGTTCCCATGCTAGACAGGCCGGAGTCAGGGAGCACAGAGGCAAGGAGAGGCTCCGAGGGAAGGGCCGGAGGGGCAGGTGAGTGAGGTTAGAGGTGTGACAGAGGGGCAGGTGAGTTTGGAGGTGTGACAGAGGGGCAGGTGAGTTTAGAGGTGTGACAGAGGGGCAGGTGAGTTTAGAGGTGTGACAGAGGGGCAGGTGAGTTTAGAGGTGTGACGGAAGGGCAGGTAAGTGAGTTTGGAGGTGTAACAGAGGGGCAGGTGAGTGAGTTTAGGGATGTGACAGAGGGTCAGGTGAGTGAGGTTAGGGGTGTGACAGAGGGGCAGGTGAGTGAGGTTAGGGGTGTGACAGAGGGGCAGGTGAGTGAGGTTAGAGGTGTGACGGAGGGGCAGGTGAGTGAGTTTAGGGGTGTGTACAGGGGAAGGGAGGAGGAGGGAGGAGAAGGAAGAAGGAAGGTTTCCCCTGGGGAACATGTCCAGTGCTCAGGTTAATGGGGGCTCAGGTGATGCCGTCCCTGGGGCGGGGGGCGGGGGTGGGGTAGAGGACAGAAGGGAAATAAAGCCCAGAAGCGGGGCTATGGACAGAGTGGCCCCCAGGCTGGACCGACATGTTGCTAGGATGTCACCTCCAGCCACAGCAGGCACTATGGGCTGGAGAACCACCTGGTCAGTGCTCAGTGGAGACCACCAGCCTGGCAACTGGGAAGAAGGGGGATAGAGAACTGGGAGCCCGGGACCCCGACCTGAAGGCAGTGTCTACCTGACGGGTGGCCTGATGCACCTGGAGGCAGCCCAGCCATGGCCGAAGGTTTCCCTCAGGTTCAGGAATAAACACCTCGTCGGAGACGGAGAAAACTGAGCAAAGACCCCAGACCTGTCATGGCTGCCTACCCAACAATTACAGATCTCAGCCGAGTCAGAGATGAGGGCAGCAGTTTCCAGACATTTCCAGGTGGAAGGTTCAGTCCCAAAATGCCCACAGGGTGCACGGCCCGCCTGGCCCAACCACAGATGGCCAGGCCCGATGGGCAGCAGTCCTGAGGGACAGCAGGCACGGGAGCACGAGAGGGATCACCTTCACCGGGTGCGATTCAAACAGATCCGTTTGGGGAAAACCACCCAGGTTTGGGGAGGATGAGAGGAAAGGGAACAGTGGGCTGGAAATGAGGTCCACGTCAGAAACGTGGACTGGGCTCCACTGCCTTCTGCCTGCAGGTTACGCAGAGGTTCTCGCGTGTGGAAAGCTGAGGACAGCTGGAGATCCCAGCATGGCTCCTTACAAAGGGCAGGGCCTCTACGACCACGTCCCACCGAAGCTAGAGCCTGGAAACACGCTGATTGACGGTAGAGACCCTGTGCCCACTCTGCATACATACCAGGAGCTTGGACCTTCTCTAGACAGAAGTGCCAAGTGGGGTGTCTGGAATGACACCCATCCCCCTCGCAACTGCCACTCTGGACAGGGGCAGCACAGACTGGCATGGCTGCCCTGTGAGCAAGGCAGACTCCCTGCCACCAGGCCCACCTGCCTTGGGTCCCGGGTGCCAGAGTGGGGTAGGTGGGCCAGGAGCTGCTTGACCAATGAGCTTCTAGCCGATGCTCCGGGCGCCCTCCCTGTCTCATCCTCACCCAGCCTGCTCAGGCTGCCCTGCGCACCCGCCGAAACAGGCCCAGAGGAGACTCCTCTGCAAACCTGAATCAAGAAATCGGAGCAACCCCCAGAGAACTGCAGGAGGGGAGGGGGATGGGAGCGCACCACCCCCAGATCTGGCTGACAAAACAGAGGCAAACTGAAGGAAGCAGGGTGTGCAACAGAAATAGAATCAACCTAAAATGGGGGTGGGGGTAAAGGCGTGAAGGTGGGCAGGAAACCAAATCGGGCAAGGTGGCATCCTCTCCATAAACCAACCCTCAGATTCCCCGCTGCCTGGAGCCTGAGGAGGCTCCGGGAAGCCATGGCCCCACAGCCTCTGCTCTGCCAGGCGAGCCTTGTTCTCTGCCTCAGAGGGCAGGGAATGGACCTGGGTCTCCTGCCCAGTGTCTCCAGCTGAGGACAGGCCTTCCGTGGTGAAGCCCCCTCTGATGTCCCTCCAGCCCACACCTGAGGACGTGAGAGGAGGAACGTGGTTAGCAGGTCAGTTGCTAAGCTGGGACCTGCCTGCCCAGCACCTCACTTGTGTGCAGCAACCTCCCAGAACCAGAGTGGAGGCTGTTCTTAACACTGACCCCTCCTGGGAGCTGGGTTTGGAAGGGTGAGGGGACCGTCAGCCCATGGCGCCCAGACACTCCAGATCCTGGAGCACCCGCCTCTGTCCAAAGATATGCTCACTGGTTCTCACGGACCAGAACCCACGGGAGATGGCAGAGCTGGCGCCGGGCCCCCATGCAGCGTGCAAGGCCAGCATGCACAGTGTCACCCTTTCCGGTCATGCAGCCTGACCAGAGGACAGGAGCTGGCTGTGCCCACTCGGGTTGCAGCATGCCTTCTCGGGGCACAGACTGTGACCCTCTTTCTGGGCGCTGAGATGTCAAGCCTAGGCCAGGGCCCAGGTGGTGCAAGGAAGTCATCACAGCTTCAGAGAAGGCGGCAGCTCCAGAGAACAGGGGTGGAGCCCGTGTGTGTGGGGGGCCCCTTCTAAGTCATCCCCCTTGTCAATAAATAGTCAGTGGAGGGATGCGAATGCGTTTGACTCTGGCTCCATCCCCTACACACATCCTCCCTGATAGTCTGGCTGCCCAACCCTGAAAGGGTGAGTCTGGAGCATGCTTTTTCCGAGCCTCTCCCTCCTTCTCCACCTTGGGTGGCCTCCACCTGTGACATCCCATGCCATGCCCATTACCTCCGCTGCTGGTACGGTACCTGCGGTTGGAGTAGCTTCAGAACACAGCGCCCAAGATGGCCAGAGAGAGGGAGAAAGGAGAAGAGAGGGAAGAGAAAACAGAATACAGGTGAAACCACAGGGCAACAGGCAGAGAAGGCTCTTGCTCAAACCTGACCGGACAGTGTGGCCAGGCGCTGGCCACTGCCCTGAGGAGGCCAGCTAGTGTTCGGGGCTCATGTTCCACTCCACTGGGGTCTGGTACGTTTCCACAGGAGACTTCCCACCTGGGTTTTGGAGGCTTTTCCAATACACTCCGATTCTGCCTCTACTCAAGGGCTATCGTCGGAGAGGTGGTGACAGGCCCCGGCCGCCTAGAGAGCTATGCCCCTGGGTCTTTCACCAAGAGGATGTCCTGCCCTGGCTGGCTGGCCTGGAGGCGGCAGGCTGGGTGATTCTCCCCGATGCCAGGAATTGAGGGTGCAGGTGGTGTGGGAGGACACCGTCCCCAGACAAAAGAATGGCCCTGGGATCTTAGGGGGGAGACCATTGAGGTGGATGGGAGAACGGGGAGCCTATTGGCTGAACCCTTCCACTCTCTCTCAGCCGGGGAAGGCCTGGGAGTGGGGACAGACCAGAGCCCTGAGGCCCCCTTTTCTCTGCTGCCCAGTTCTTTCCCACCAGCTGTGCTTTGTGAAATCAGAAACCCAACTGTGGACGGAGCCCTAAAAGGAATCCCTGACTTTGCTGCAAATCCCTGGCTGGAGAAGAAAGTCTTTGTCCTCCTGTCGCCGGGGGCTGTGGAACGTACAATGGGTCTTTATCTGGGTCCCATCCCGGGTGGAGATGGGGAGGAGAGGCTCTCTTCATGTAGCTCCTTAGAGCTAAGTAATCAAGAAAGGGCATCACCTCTGGTCTGGCCAGGCCTTTGATTACAGCACCTACGGTATCACTGACCCAAAGCCTCCCGGCCCTAATAAACCACCCAATGGGGTGGGAAGGCCAAACGGGGAGGGGAGCTTATTGTGTGACTCACTCCTGGTTTACGAGACCAGAGAGGGCCACAGAAAGGACTGTAAGCCCTTCTCCAGCTCCTGCCGCCCACCTCAACCCACCCCCCACCCCGGTGCTGGCCCGCTGGCCAGGGAAGCAGGGCCTGGGAAGGGATGCAGGGCTGCTTATGAAGCTGAATTAGGAGCCCGGGGTAAGGCAGCAAAAGCAGCAGGGCCTGGCAGCCCCGGGAGTGAGGGGCTGATGCTCTCCTGGGTGGGGTAGGGTTCCCTGGAGGCCCGGTCTGAGCCTCAGCCTTCTGGAGAAAGCAGGAGACAGGATCACCTGCTGCCAACCTCAAGGACCCACTCACATCACCTCTCCTCTGAAGCCTCCCCTCGCAGCCTCAACGCCCCACCCCTGCACAGCCACAACCACGGCACCTTCCCCATCTGAACATAGCACGCCTCGTGTTAAACTGCAGCTGGGCATTCTCCTGGATGTCGCCCTTCTCGACGGTGTGAGCTTACTGCCTAGAGCCCCCCGCTTCTGGCACGGTGTCTAGCACCTCACAGTGTGGGTGCTCAAGAAACGGCTTGTGAATGGCCAACTGTACCTCTGGAGAGGCCGTGGGGTCCCCCCTTTCACACGGGATCTGCTGATATCAAAGCTTCTATAGTCACAAACCGGACAGAGGCTCCTTGAGACCAGTCAGCGTGTGCAGGCGGGCCCGGAGCCCCCTCTAGTGGAGCTCTCTGGCAGGTGCAGCTCCGGCGGGGATTGCTGGGCTCCTGGAAGACGCCAGGACCCAGGAGATGGACACATTTGCTCTTTGTGAAGCCGGTTTGGCAAATGGCTGTTTCCCAACTCCCCTTCCCCGCGGCAGCCTGACAACTCACTCAGTTCAGGCTGCAAGGGGGGACTACATCGACTCGTGCTCCGGGCAGGTAGCTCTCTCCCCGGCCTCCTTGAACCCACGCAGAGCAGACCCCGTTTCAACTGTATAATAACACTCCTGTCCCTAAACAGGTGAGCACTTTCACTGTTCCGTGGGGTTCATCAGCCTATTTACTTCCAACACACATTCTCGCGTCTCTTCCATACCCCCCCCCCCGACCCCCCAGAAGGAGGGATGGCACATGTTAAGTGGCTGAGCAAGTCAAGGCACCGTGGGGACCCGGGTCTGATGACAAGTCTAAGGGACCTGAGTTGTCCACATACATCGCCAGCACCCACCTACCTGCCAGCACACCAGACGGGCTCCCGGCTTCCCTTGAAGGACCTGCAGCCTCCTTTCCTCTCCATCCCAGGCGGCCGGGCAGCCAGGGGGCAGGTCAGAGGGTTTCTCTGGGCCGCCGCGTTAGCGGGCCCTGTCATCCCGAGGCCGCCGCAATGCACCTACCTTCATTCGGGGCCGCCGGCGACTCCTCCGTGACCGCCTCCCCGGAGCCCACCTGCGTCCTGGCACTCAGGGTGAAGCGGTAGCGTGACACGGGGTCCGCTCTCTGCACCGTGAACTTGGTCTGGTTGGGAGAGAAGTTCTCCACCATCTGCTTTCCTAGTTTGGTTCCATTAACTGGGGGGAGAGAGGCACGTGGGATTGACCTTCAGCGGTGCTGACCGCGATGAGTTGTATGACCTGCAGCTGCAAACCTTCCCAGCTCAGCCGTAAGGGATATGGTGAAACCCGCCCCCCGTGAGCGCCTGACGGCTCGGGGGATGGGAGGTTTGGGCAAAGGCCGCCTGCAGGGCAGGGGCTCCTTGTGCTGTTTGAGGGCGCACTGGGCTGCTACTTTTCACTCATCCTGTGACCTCTGGCTCGCTGCAAAGCTGTGCGGCTGATTCTGAAAGACTCCGTGTACCATCCCCAAGCCTTTTCAACAAGACAAAACGTACGGGGTTCTTTCTTCCTTTCAAAGAGAACTAGGGCAAAGCCACTAGAGCAGTGGTTCTCAACCTTGGCTGCACATTAGAATCACCTGGGAGCCTTTTTAAAATCCTGATTTCTGGGCCTCATTCCAGAAATCAGGATGTTAAAAAGATTCCCAGGTGATTCTAATGTGCAGCCAAGGTTGAGAACCACTGCACTGGAGCAAGCATGTCAAACTCGTGGCCCGCGGGCCACAGGCCTCATTTTTTTGGCTCGTGTTGGCCTTTGAGTTTGACATGCTTGCACTAGAGTTCTACTTAATGCTTCCTTTGTAAAAAGCCTGTTCAGGGTACCTCGAAGGTGCAACTCTGGTCACCCCAGGCTGGATCTGGAGCAGCACACAGCTGGGTATTAACACATTGAGGACCAGTAGCTTTATTGCTAGCTTTACCCAGGGGCCAGATACTAGTAAGTTTCTATTGAACGAGGACAAAAAACGTTTTACATAAAGGCACGCTTTAAAATTAAATACCCATTGCATTTTGAAGTTATCTGTTACATGCTCTTACAAGCTAATATCCTTTTAACGAATTCTCATGATTGGCCACAAGCCTTAGGACAGAAAAACACGAGAATTCTCGTGATCCGTCTGCAATGTGTTGAAATCGTTAACACACTACCCAGCCCTTAGCGCAGCGGTTCTCAACCTGTGGGTCGCGACCCCTTTGGCGGTCGAACGACCCTTTCACAGGGGTCGCCTAAGACCATCCTGCATATCAGATATTGACATGACGATTCGTAACAGTAGCAACATTACAGTGATGAAGTAGCCACGAAAACAATTTTATGGTTGGGTCACCACATGAGGAACTGTGTTTAAAGGGCCAGAAGGTTGAGAACCACTGCCTTAGAGCGTCCCACTGAGCGGCAACATCGCCTACTTTAGAAGGCAGGGGGGCCACGTTTTTCAAATGCAAGGACACTCCTGTCCCTGCAGGGTGACCCTGAACTCCCGAGGCGAGGGCCTGACGGGGTCACTCTGAGTTCTCGCCCGGTCTCCGTACAGCCGCCTTCCCGTAACGGACACCTTGTTGAGTGGCCGAGTGCTGTGTGGAGTCCTGTGAGGGCACTGACTACCCCGTCAGTCAGAGGAGGGGCCTTCTCCGAGACTCGTAGGTGTTGGGACTATAGGATCCCCGAGAGCTGGGGTTGGACCCCTCATTAGACCAGAAGTTCCCTTTGTCACACAGGCAACTAGAGGGGCCTGTGTTAGGAAAGCAGGGCTGGGTCTCAACTGCCTCCCCTAATCCCGGGGGAGCTGTCCCCCTGGCAGTGCCCTCTATCTACACCCCAGGGCCCCTGGGATCCTCAGGCAAAGTGGTGAGCATAGGGCTCCTGACACCCAGATTAGCTAAGAGCAAGCAGAGCGAAACGTACAGGGCAGGTATCGGAGAGAATACCCAGTCAGGATGCCGTTGGGGTGTTCCGGGTGGTCCCACTCCAGGTTGATTGTCTGCAGGTTGGGCTGCCGGACTCGGAAGCGCCTGGGGGCGCTGGGTACTTGGGGAAGGAGAAGAGAGTGGGGGAGGTGAGGGAGAGCGGGACGGGGCGGGCAGGATGAGGAGAACAAAACAAAGCACAAGTATGAAGGCGCTGAACTCGGGCAACCCCCATGCTAGGCAGCTGCCAAGCCGGAGCCCACGGCCCATCCTGGGCTCCCCCAGTTCAGGACGAGCCTGGCTCCGACTCTGTTTAAAGGGGAGAAGTCAATCGAGGGTTCCTTTAGCAACTGCTGTGGGTTCAGCACGTTAGGCTCCAATGCTGTGAAGATGCCTCCAAGACGGGCAGAGCACGTCTCAGGCAGGAAACAACTGTCACTGTTGCCTCCGGAGGCCGCGGCCCCTTGCCCTCAGACAAGGATTCTCACCCCCAGGCCCAAGCGGCCGGCCCACGCGTCTGGGCTGAGGGTGCTGGGCTCAGGGGGCAGCGGGGAGAGGAAAGAAAGCCCAGATGGAGCACGGGGACAGGTGAGGGGCAGGAGAGATGGGGGAGGCTGATTATCAAAACCAAGACAAGCCGGGCTGGCGCGGCTCAGTGGCTGGGCGTTGACCCGTGAACCAGGAGGTCACGGTTCGATTCCTGGTCAGGGCACATGCCCGGGTGGCAGGCTTGATCCCCTGTACGGGGCCTGCAGGAGGCAGATCAATGATTCTCTTTCATCACTGATGTTTCTCTCTCTCCCTTTCCCTGAAAACACATTAAAAAAACATACACACGCAAACACAAACAAGGTGGAGGGAAAGACAGGAATAAAGAAAGCAAGAGGGGCCCGGGCCGGTTAGCTCAGTTGGTTAGAGCGCCGCCCCAATACACCAAGGTTGTGGGCTGATTCCCAGTAGAGCACATACAAGAATCAACAATGAATGCACAAATAAGTGGAACAGCAAATCAATGTTTCTCTCTCTCCCTCTATCTCTAAAATTAATAGATTAAAAAAAAGAAAGAAAGCAAGAGGGAAGAACGAAGGAGAGTCGAGAGAGGAGGAAGAGGAGAGGAAAATAACAGCTGAGAAGGGAGGGAGGAGAAACAGAAACGGGCGAAGAAAGCGCCAAGCTGATGAGAAAAGATTGGCTAGAACAGGAGATGGACTGGGGTCTTTGTAGGGGTCTGCCTCCAACCATGAACCTACAGTCGGCAGGCGCCCCTCTGCAGGGCCATGGCACCCGCGGGCCAACGACCTCAGCGAAAGCTTCTTGATTGCAGTGGCGAGAGCTCTGCAGGTCCTGGCTGCTGGTCCACTGACCGATGCCTCTAGGTGGTCAGGGTGACCGCTTCAGCCGCAGGTGGCAGTGCCCTGGGCGTCAGTCTGTATGCCCATCTGGAATCACGTCATCAGACCACACAAGTGTTCTCTTGAGGTACAACATCAGCAGGGCAGGCCAGACAGGTGACACGGTGCTGAGTGGGAATGGTAGGAGCTGCTCAGCTCACGGGTCATCAGCTCCTTGAGGTCATGCAGAGGTCAACTGGTGCTGTCCGTGCCAAGCCACAGTGGAGCTGCTCCATGTCCACCTGAATGTTGGTACCTTGACCTGCCCCACCCCGAAGAGCTGCAGGTCAGACCTACCTCCTTCCGGGGTGGTGAACTCCTTGGTCTCACTGCGAGGCCCATCGCCTCTCCCATTGACCACAACCATCTCCAGCTTGTAGTTACTGTAGGGAAAGAGGCGGGACACCACGCCCCGGAGGCGGTCACCAGGGAAGCCGGCTTGCTGTCTCTTCTGAGACACCCACAGGCTCTTCAGTAAGCTGCTCTCCCTCCAGTAGTAGGCCTTCAGGACAGAAGCAGGCCGGTGAGGGGGCGTCAGGCAGAGCTGGGTTAGTGGTTAGTGGTGGTGGTAGTGACCGGTCTTCCCTTTGCTGCCACAGGCTCCAAATCCCAAACGAACGCATCGGTCGCACACAGGGCCGGGGAGGTGGCCGACCGTCCCCGTGCGCTAGCCACTAGCGAGTCTGAACTGATGTCAAACAAGAAACAGGGTGTTTGGTTTCAATCGCCTCTCTGGAGGAGAGGCAAGCTGGCCAGGCTCACAGCTGCGCTGCTCCACCGTGAGCCTTATTTCGAAGCTGGGGACCCGGTTGCTCAGGGAGTCTGTGCCAAAACCACAAATACCAGCCAGGGGTCCAAGCATGGCAAGCTCTGTCCCGGGCTCAGAGGCCGAGTCCCCCGAGTGGGATTAGTACGGTTTAAGACAGGCTGCAGGAGGAGTTGAAAAATAGCGGGCTACCCCCACAAGTCTGAATATGAGAAAGGGTTGTTTTAACGCTTTGAAGTCAGATGTTGCTTTTAACATTGTCTGAAGACCTTTAGAATCGGTGTCCAAGGCAGTGAGATGCCAGGCCGCCTGGTGGTAAGAGCTGGGACGGGATGGCCTATGGACGGTGGCAGTGTCACAGGTAAGGCTGAGAGCGTGTGTGACACGAGGTCTGGTTAGCAGTGGGTAGGACGCGCCAGGTCAGGCTGCCACACCAGCGCCACCTAGGCCTCCATCGGCAAGATAAGGAGGAAGTCCAGACTTAAGAGGGCACCCAATGGGACCTTTAGCCAGAAAAACCTCCAGGCAAGTAGGTTAAAGGTACAAGCCAACTGTTAGGGAGGAGCTCATTCAGGAGTGTACACCGTCTTGCCTGCCTTCCCCCACTTACACATTCATTTCCCAAGAAGAGACCGGCCCCTCCATTCTGCCCCCCGATTACCCACCAGCCAACGCTCCACCAGTGACCTCTGAGGTCACAGAACCTGTGGGAATATCCCGTGGCTACAGCCTCCCTCGCTTCCCTGGCCACTTTTAAACAGAGCCATTCCTAGGAAGAGCCTGGCTTATCCTGGGGTTTCTCTCCCTTTCCCCCAACTCAGCTCACCCTTTCAAACAAGAGAGAAGACTGAGCAGGGACTGCTCCCAGGCAGGAAGACCAGAAGCCAGGAGCCGGGATGACCCCTGTGCTGGATCACAGGGAAGCCCTGTGCACCCTTTTAGCCGTTACACCTGTTAGTTGGGGCTTTGCACAATCAGACCGGGAGAGGCAAGCAGCCCAGCGGGGACCATTAGGAGCAGGCCGGGTGTAGCTCAGTGGTGCTTCAACAGAGCTTCTGTGCGTGCGCGTGTATCCACTCACGCCTTACAGGCACAGTGTGCGATGCAACCTCCACCCAGGCCACTGCCCTTCACGTGATTTTCTGCTGAGCACACTCTCTCAGCATATCCGCTGCAGGACACACCTGGGGGTGTGTCCATGTATATATATGAATATAATTTTGATGAGCTAACCCTAGACATCATCTTCTTGAATCAACTCTGGGTTCCACAGCGACCCCGAGGCCCCCTTCCAAATACCTCCTGGCCTGCACCTGCTACCCCTGGCCCTGGTTATGGAGCGGGAGGTTAGGCGGGGCTGGGAGCTGGCTTCCTCACTCGGTACTCTCTGAGCTGGCCCTGGACCGTGTCGGAGTAGACGCGGTTCCACTGAAGGTTGATGGCTGTGCTGTTCAGGACTCGGATTTTAACGTCAGTGGGTGCAGCCCTGGGATCTGCAATGTGTTGGGACAGAGAGCAGGTTATGGCGGCAGGGTTGGCCCCAGGACCCCAAGTTCCCCTCGACTTTTCTCTGCTGCCCATACCTCCACCCCACTCTGGACCCTGAGGGTAGGGACTCTGTCTTCTCCATCAGTCTGTGCTTGGAGGAGTGGGGAAAGGCTCAGAACAAAAGGGTGGCAGCCCAGGTAGGAGGGAGGGGTTTGCTACCCTCACATGCCGGGCAGTCGGGCAGTCTCCGTTTGCCCCTCCACTGCTTCTCCACCCTTCCCCACCCTGCTGCATGTCCCAGGAGGCTGCCCTTCCTGGACCAAGTCAGCTGGGCTCCCTTGTCCTCAGGTTTCCGGATGTGTTTGCCCAATGGGTGCCAACAGGAGATCCTGGGGCAGGAGAGGTAGCTATGCCCCTTGCTGCCTGTTTGTGGGGCTGACGGTCGACAGCGTTGCATTCTTCTGCCCAAGGCCCCGGCTCCCGTGAGTGGCCCTCAATGGCATGGGACTCACCTCCTGCCCCTTCAAGGCTCAGAGTCATCCCCTAGCCCTCCAGGTGGTCACCATACTGTGCTGTTTCCCCTCAGTGCTGTGCTTACATCAGAAATAGTCCGCTTTAAGTGGCATTTGCTTCCTGCCAGGAAACTACCACCAGAATAAAGGCACCTTATCCATGACTACCTGGAATGGGAGGGCCGCTCCCTTCCCCATAACTGATTCCTGCCCCCTTTCTCCATTCTGCTGCAGAAGCAGCTCGGCCTCATCCCTTCTACGCCATCAGAGCAGAGGCCACAGAGTAGACAGATGCAATGGAGACTATGGGGCGGTCCATGAAGTTCATGACCAGATGCTGCCCATTCCATACTTGCCATCCAGTAGTCTCCTGTCCAGAAGTGTCTGCCACCATGGAGATGAGGAGTGGGATGGACAGAGGGCCTGCTGACCTGCCCCCCGCCCCTTATGTCCCAAGTGGGTTCAATCCACAATCACCTCACAGGGCCCAAACCTCACTTCTTCCCATCTCACTGTTCAAACATTGCTGGCCCGGCCCCTGACTCCAGCGTTGCCCCTGTGACTCCACTCCTCCCTCAGACTCTCCCCAGCCCCCCGCCCCCCCTTGCCATGATCTCTTCTTAGATCAGACCCAGACCCACTGGGGTACAAATCACCCTGAGCGGGGGTGGGGGGTGGGGTGGGGTGGTGGTGTGCCACTGCCTCTCCTGCCTTGCTCAGCTGTCTACCGGATCGATGTGCTGGGGACAAAGAAGCCACACCGCCTGGGAAGCCAGGCACCTGCTTCCACATATATGTCCAGAATCTCATTGATTCACCCAGTGCAAGCCCCTAAGGGACTTCTCTTTTTATGCTCAATTCTGCGGGTGAGAACATCCCTGGGAATGCGGGCAGGAGGCTGGTCTGGGTGGCTCCAGTCTGAGGCTCTGCAGACCTTCTCCATCCCCGAAGGCTGCCCGGGGGAGCCTGGGGAGGAGTCTGGCCCGTGGCCCTGCTTCCTGGGAGAGCTAATGGTTCCTCGGGATACACAGTCCTGAAGTCTTTTTTGGTGCAGCGAGGATTGGCAATGGGCAGATCAGAAGGCCTAGGTTCGATTTTCACGCCCAGCACTTGCTGTTGTGTAATATGGCCAACATTGTCCTCGCGGGGCCTGTGTTCACATCCATAAAATGAGAGTGTTGGGCTAGATGATGACACTGAGTAATTTTAACTGGTGTCCAGATGACGCACTTCCGCTCCCAACACCATGAGGGCCCATCTGTTGCTATGTAGGTCGCTGCTTCCTCTTTCCCGGGAACTAGCTGTCCTCCCAGTTCTGGGAAGTCCCACGACCCACCCCCAGGTCCCTAGTCTGTGAGCATGGCCCTTATGCAGCCCAGCCGGGAGGGCCCTGGGTGGGGGCCGGGGGAAGATACTCACAATCTTCTCCAGAGTAGCCGATGACCGTGTCTGGCTCCGGGCCCTTCCCAAAGTCATTTTCGGCCTGCACTCGGATCTCATAGGGCACGTAGACAGGGGTCTGCCCTACCACGTAGCGGGAGCCCCACACTGTGGCGTTGTTCCAGGTCTCTCGAGTCTCCTTCCGCCGCCACTTGACGATGTAGCGCAGGTTGGGGCCAAAGGCGGAGGTGGCATTCATGGGCTGGGCAGGGAGAGACAGAGGGCAGAGGTGGAGGGGCAGGTGGGGGGCCCAGGCACCCCTCCTTCTCCCCAGGCACCCCTCCCGATCTGCCCAACGCTGCCCAGCCCCCACCCTCACTGAGTCCTCCAAGAGCCGAGTCCCATGAACCCAGCAGCACACAGATTTTCTGTGACAAAGGCGTCCCCCAGGACCTCATCACCGCGACTCCCACGTGTGCAAGTGCATAGGGAGCAAAAGCCTTATTTTGGACAGGACTCTTTCCTACGGTGGAGCAACAAGAGAAAATAAGGATGATAATATAATATTCTCCAAAGTCAGAAAGGCATGAGCTCTGGGTTAGCCACTGCATGCCTCCTGCCCGTGAACTCAAAGTTACAGAGCCGACTTCAGCTCTCCTGAGTGCACACAGGTCTGCCCTGACCTCCCAACAGGTCCCAGCCCTCTCAGAGTGGGCGGAGCTCTGCCCTCTGCTCCCTAAGGGCCTGCTCCAGCGGCAAGCAGTCCCAGGCACAGGATGGAGTGTGGACCTGGAGCAGACCCTGCACAGCCCTGAGGATGTGCCGGCGTCTGGGATTGGCCAGGCCCCGCTGCTGAGGCTGCTGGGAGACCAGGCCCTCAAGCAGGATGGGGATGGTCTGGACTCCCAACCCTGTGTGTCCTGTTTCCTTGATGCATGGCCATAGCACAGAAGTGCATTTCAGCAGCTAAGTTTGAAAACAAGTCATTCTGATGCCTGTCCGGCATGGCTCAGTGGTTGAATGTCGACCTATGAGCCAGGAGGTCACAGTTCGATTTCCAGTCAGGGGTCAGGGCACATGCCCAGGTTGTAAGCTCAAGCCCCAGTGTGGGGTGTGCAGGAGGCAGCCCACCTATGATTCTCTCTCATCATTGATATTTCTATCTCTCTCTCCCATCCTCTCTGAAATCAATAAAAAAATATTTTTTAAGGAAGTCACTTTGAGGTGACACATCCAATTCTGATTTGGAAATGTAGTCAGTGAGCCAAAGTGAAGATGGGGTTCTTCAAACCTGGCCTGGAGTTCTCTAGTCCTGACTGCGAGAAGGTCTACGCTGACAACGCCAGCTGCCAGCCTCTCCTCACTCCCAGCAATCTCGTGAAAGGACCCAGAACACACCCATGCGAGCATGGTGTTTATGCCCAGTCATTCCCAGTCCAACCTCAACCCCTCCTCCTCCTCCTTCTTCTTTTAATCCTCACACGAGGATATTTTTCCCATTGATTTTTAGAGTGGAAGAGAGAAGGACAGAGAAATATCGATGTGAGAGAATCACATCGATTGATTGCCTCCTGCATGCGCCCTGACCGGGGCCTGGGCTGGGAAGGAGCCTGCAACCAAGGTACGTCCCCTTGGCCGGAATTGAACCCAGGACCCTTTGGTCTACAGGCCAACGCTCTATCCACTGAGCCAAACCGGCTAGGGCTCAACCCCTCCTTCTTCTGAAGAAAGAAGCCCGTTTTATTTTGCTGGCTCTCTATGGTTTTGCCAGGCTGCCCCAACCACCTCTGCGCGGCTCTCCTGTCCTAAATCTTGTCTAGACACGCTCCCGCTTGGTTTCTGGACGCCCAACGCAGAGGAGTGGCCACCAAACCAGCCAGGCATCTGAGCCAGCCTGTGGCCTTGGGGTGTCAAAGGCATAAAGGGCGAGGGGTCCCAGGTGCACACGGCTGCCTTCGAGGCTGGGCTGGGGGACACTCACCGTCCACGTGATCTCCATGTTGTTCTTTCTGGTCCCCTCTCCTTTCACGTCGCTGGGATTGGACTCAGGGGCTGGAACCCAAATTGGCACAAAGTTCAAGTCCAATGTGTCCAGGGCGTAGTGAGCACCTGGCTCCCTCCCACCTGCCTGGTCTCTCCTACGCTGTTCCTCTGTGTCTCTCTGCTCTCCCGTCTCATGGGCAATGGAACATGCTCTGCCGTGTCTCACGTGTGGGCCGTGTCTGCCTAGCTCAGCAGCCGGCAGACTCATTAGTCAACAGAGCCAAATATCAACAGTACAACGATTGAAATTTCTTTTGAGAGCCAAATTTTTTAAACTTAAACTATATAGATAGGTACACTGTTATTAACTTAATTAGGGTACTCCTAAGGTTTAGGAAGAGCCACACTCAAGGGGCCAAAGAGCCGCATGTGGCTCGCGAACCGCAGTTTGCCGACCACGGCCTAGCTCATTAACCCCTCTCAATTGCAATGCCTCTCAGACAGACCTGTCATGGGGCTTTTCACACTTTAGATGCCCAAATAGCCAACTCGTGGATCATCCCCTTCGTGGATTAGCCACTAAATATGTGGCTAATAGCACATATTTAATAGCAGGCGGGTTCACCCCAGCATTTAACGTTTTGGGGATGTCAATGAGCCAGTGTGATTTCAGAAATCTAAATATTACCCAGGAAAAGAAATCTGATAAAATACCAGGTTACACATTTCTGCTGCAAGTGTTTGCCACAGCTCTTCTCTTCCAAGCAGACCATCGAAATTATTAATAACACTAGAGGCCCAGTGCACGAAAATCATGCCCTGGTAGGGTCCTTGGCAGCTGCCGGCTGGGGCCTCCCTCCCTTCCCCCTACTGGCCTCGCCCCCTGGTTGAACTCTTGGTCGAGGGGACGATTTGCATACTATCCTTTTATTATACAGGATTAGTAATAATAAAAATGACAGTTAACACGAGTGCTCGCATTTTCAATGGAATCCTCACCGCAGCCCCTCTGGCACCGTGCTGATAGTACAGATGAGGGAGCCAAGCCTTGGAGACGTTAAGGAACTTGCCCCAAATCCACACAGCTGGGGGCTGGGGGCACCCAGTGGGAGCTCAGGGTGCCTGCTCCAGCGCCGCCGTGGGTGAGCCCTCGGGTACTCACGGGCCCCGCTGGTTCTGTAGCGCTCGGACGGGAGGCTGGGGTGGCTGCTGCCGACCTCGTTGACAGCAATGACCCGGAACTGGTAGTTGACGTACGGGGACAGCTGCAGGACGGCCGAGTTGACGCTGCCTGGGAACTTGGAATGGTCGTGCCACACCCCTGGCTGGAACTGGTCCTCTTCGAACTGGACCACATAGTCTGAGGGCAAGGAAGACAGTCAGCTGCTTCAGGGGCTGAGTCAGCTGACTTCTTCCTGAAAGCATCCCCCATGGTTTTCATTCTCTCCATAACCTCCCTGGTAGAGAGGGGCACAGGGAGGGTTCCTATCGAGACACTGAAAGGGAGACAAGGCTTCCGTGGGGTCTGCAAACAGCCCAGGGCACGGGCCAAGTGAGGCGGACGGGGACCGACCCCAGGGCCAGGCCTCCGAGCTCCCAGCTGCCCCCACCCTCTTCTCTGGCCCGGAGCGCAGGGCCCTGGCTGACCTGTGATGGGGCTGTTGTTATCGTCCCCTGGGATCCAGGTCAGCCTCACGCTCCTCTCGGCCAGGTCGGTGAGCTCCAGGTCCCGCGGTCTGTCCGGCCGTCCTGGCAGCAGAGGGAGAAGACACCGCGCAGGACTCCCGAGTTAGAGCCAGCCCGTCCTTGTGGTGGCCCCAGCCCTGGCCACACCCATGGACAGGTCCCTGGAGGGCGGAGGCCACCACAGCAGGGCCCACCCCCAGCCTGCCCTGGAGGGTCAGCACAGGGACCACCCCATCCCTCAGGGGGTCAAGGGAGAACAAAGAGGAGACTCCGGTCCCACCTCCCTCTCCAAGAGCACCCAAGGATGCAGGGCACAGAGAGAGTCGGACCGGCCGTCCCATTCCTGCAGGTATCTTGGAGGGCAAGCACTTGGGAATGCTTTTCACTAGACGCGTGTTCACATTTAGGAAAGCCAGCGAGGAATGTGGACTTGGTCTCGTTTTCTCAGGATTATTATTTTCTACTCTGTACGCCACGGCTCTGAGGGGCAGGAGCCAGAGGGTGTGTGGGTGCTGAGCGAGGCAGGCAGGCTCAGGGCATGGGAGGGAGGAAGGGGACCAGGCCAGGGAGGAGATGGGGATGTGGTCGCACAGGGATGGACAGGACAGGAGCCCAGCAGGCTTCCGACCAGCGGGGAGGCAGCACCGTTTTGGGGCTTCAGTCTCACTGGGCTGCCTTAGTGGGTGTGAGTGCCATCCCGGCCTGGGGATAAAGCCATGCCCCACGGACTGGTGGGGTGGCATAACTTCCCCCTCTATGGCTCCGTGAACCAGCCATTTCCACATGTTGGCCGATCGCTGGAAGAATCTGGAAGGTGAGCCCCCATTCGTGTGTGCAGACTGTTTGTGGGTACATAGTGCTGGACATGGAGAGGCTGCAGGAAACGTGGGCCCACAGATGGTTCGAAGCAAGGGGGCCACAGGTATGTCCGAGGCCAAAGAAGAGAACAGGCCTCCCCGTGGGCATGGTGAGAGGTGAGAGGTCAGGGACGCAGGAGAAAAGGCAGTCAAGGATGTCTAAGCTCAACCTGGAGCAGGAAGCCAGGCTGTGATGCTCGGGGAGGGAGCGGATTGGGCAGGGGGTGGGGGCGACGTACCGCCCACCCAGCACCTCCTGGGCAGTGCTCTCCCCTGAGACCCCACCCTACCTGGGCCTAGCGAGGGCTGGGCCAGGGTCCCGATTAGTATGAATTACCTTTGGGGAGGGCAGCCAAACGGTTAGTTGGAGTGGTCTGATCAGCTGCAAAGGTAAGACGGTTAACTAGGTTAGCTGGTTATCTGGGGTTAGAGGTGTTCCAAAAGGGTGGGAGCAGGCGGCCAAGGCTGGGAGAGCTGCCCCTGCAACAAGTTTCCCCACGGCTTCCCCTCCTTCCACAGAGCCCTCACCCCTAGAGGCCTCCTGTGCCCCCATCGCCCTTCTGTCCCAGGGCCCCCACCACCCTGAGCCCATCTCCCTCCTGTCCCAGGGCCCCCATCACCCTGTGCCCATCTCCCTCCTGTCCCAGGGCCCCCATCACCCTGAGCCCATCTCCCTCCTGTCCCAGGGCCCCCATCACCCTGAGCCCATCTCCCTCCTGTCCCAGGGCCCCCATCACCCTGAGCCCATCTCCCTCCTCTCCCAGGGCCCCCATCACCCTGTGCCCATCTCCCTCCTGTCCCAGGGCCCCATCACCCTGAGACCATCTCCCTCCTGTCCCAGGGCCCCATCACCCTGAGACCATCTCCCTCCTGTCCCAGGGCCCCCATCACCCTGAGCCCATCTCCCTCCTCTCCCAGGGCCCCCATCACCCTGTGCTCATCTCCCTCCTGTCCCAGGGCCCCATCACCCTGAGCCCATCTCCCTCCTCTCCCAGGGCCCCCATCACCCTGTGCCCATCTCCCTCCTGTCCCAGGGCCCCATCACCCTGAGACCATCTCCCTCCTGTCCCAGGGCCCCCATCACCCTGAGCCCATCTCCCTCCTCTCCCAGGGCCCCCATCACCCTGAGCCCATCACCCTCCCATCCCAGGGCCCCATCACCCTGGGCCCCATCACCTCCTTCCTGTCCCAGGGCCACCATCAGCCCTGATCCCCATCTCCTGGGACCGTGTGCCTCCACTGGGGAAGGGACAAGAGTGCACTAAGAGTAAGGGCAGTGGGGCCCGGAGAGAAGACAGAGGTGATGAGGGACAATGGGCACTTTGCCTCCCTGGACAGGACCGGCTCACTCCCCAGGTTGGGATGGCTTCGTATGTCCAGCACGGCCTGGACAAGGTCGGGTCGCCCTGCTGAGTGCACAGCGCCCTGTGAAATTCCATCGGGAGGCGGGGAGGGGGGAAGGCCAGCAGAGGTGTTGGAAGGACAAACACAAAGTTCAGTCTTGCTTCAATGATGGATCGTTTTAATGAACTTAGTGGTTTAGAGTTAGCTGTAAAGTTGGTAAAAATGACCATCACAGGACCCCTGTCCACCCTCCCGCTCTCATGCAGGTGAGAACACGGGGAGTTAATAGCTCTACTTAGGAGGCAAGTCATCGAACACAGCTTCTTTCGCCAGGAGCAGCGTCCTAACCCTTAGATCAAAGGCAGGAGACTGCCACAGCTGGCAGCTCGTGGACCACAGGGCTGTCCCGGGCCCCGGCCGCTGTGGCTGCAGGAAGGGCGAGGAGTCAGGGCCACGGGCAGCGGCAGTTACCTAGCACGGTGAGGTAGGCCTTGGCCAGGTCTTGGTCCAGCTCCGTGCTGGCGACGCACGTGTAGCTGCCCTGGTCCCGCTCAGCCACCCCGAAGATGGTCAGGGAGTCATCCTCCTTCTTCATCCTGCAAAGGCACCGAGGGTTGGGAGGAGGGCAAGTGGGGGGAAACGGGAGAGACAAGGGGAGTGCTGGGCACCGCCTGCTGCTTTCTCCCTGGATGGGGGGTGAGTCGGAGGGGGAGGGGAGCCCCAGGCTGGGCTGGGCAGCCACTAGGGGACATGAGCCCCACGGGGGATGCCCGGGAGAGACAGGCTGTTCTCCAGCACTTAGGGTGCTCAATAAAGGGGAGAAGGAACACGGGAGAGGCCGCTCAGTCCTCCAATGACACCTGCTCTCTGTGCCTTCCTGTGCTGCGCTCCCTCCCACCTTAGAACCACTCCCAAAAGGCAGTGGAGACCCCTCCTCATCCCATTCTCCAGCTCTATCCCCAGCCCAGGCTGGTCTCTGCACTGTCTCCCCTAGAGGAAGGGCACCAAAGAGCAGGCAGGGTAAGCAGCAAGTGAGTGCCAGGATGTGCCTGCCCTCAGGGGGCGCCCCCACAAAAACCCAGATGGTCCTTGGGAACAGCTGGTGCCTAAGGCAACCTCAGGGCCCAGAAGTGCGAGAAGGTACCGCAAAGGGCCCTGCGGAGGGAGGCTCTGACCTTGACTGCACAATAGAGACACCTGCGGGCAGGTGTACACACTGTTGGTGCCCAGCCCTCCCCTCCCCGACACCCATTAAATCCACATCTGGGATGAGGAAGGGGGCAGGCAGGCTTGGGGCTAGCAAAACGCCCAGTGGTCCTAGTTGGCTCGGGCCAACCCTGTCCTCTGCTGGAGAACAGGGGCGCTGCGGGCAGAGCGGAAGCTGGGGAGGGGGGCTCCTGGCTGTGATGCAGAAGAGGAGGGAAGGGTCACAATAAAGGAAGGAGGAAAAGAGAAGGAGCGAGGGGAGAACAGTGAGGAGAGAAAGGAGTTGGAAAGAGAAGGAAAGGGAAGCAGAGAGCTGATGGGAGAGAGGAAGAGGGTGCGGGGGGGGGGGGGTGTCTCCCCTGAAGCCATCCTGCCCAGCCCAGCAGCTCCTCAGGGACAGGCAGGACACAGGCGCCCTATCCCTAGGTTCTGCAGTGTCTCGAACCCCGGACCAGCACCAGGAAGGGGCTAGGGCGGAGCGGAGACCTGTTCCCGATGTAGAGCGGCTGGTCGTCCTTCAGCCAGGAGACCGTGAGCTTCAGGGAGGGGTCGTGCTTGACCCGGCACTCCAGCTGCACGGTGGTGCCCCTTTTGACGACCTGGTCCTCAGGCATCCGGAAGATCCTGGTGGGGTCTGCGGAGAAAGCGGGCGCTCGGCACTGACACGCTCTCTGCCCGTCACCCCAGCGTGGACCCCGTGTGACAGGCATGAGCTCCAGGGTAGACCGAGCGGGGGAGGCGGAGAAACAGTCTCCCATTGCGTGAATGGGGGAAAGCCTGGTGTGGGTGATCCTAGACAGTAAACCACCCCAAATCCTCTCTATCTGGCTCGGGAAGATATGATGCAATTCCTGGGGTGGCGGTGGAAGCCGGGGTGGGTAGGCTGTCCTTCCTAATGCCAGGGGGGACCAGGTGAACAGGACTCAGTGTTGTCCCGGCACCCAGGCCAGCTGGAAGCCCTGGGAGAACCACAGACCCCCTGGGAGTGTCCCGCTAGGGATCAGACATTAGGCGTGTGCATTTCCAAAGTGAAACACAAGCGGGGTAACCTGAGAAGACAGCTTCCTTCCCCAGCTCCACCCCCGTCCCCCGCCCTCCACCTGCCAACCCCTTCTTTACCTTTGACCTCCAGGCGGACCTGGTTCTCGGCTTTGCCCAGGATGTTGGTGGCGACACAGGTGTAGATGCCTTGGTCCTCTTTGCGGATCATCTTGATTTCCAGGCTGCCGTTCTCGTAGACGTGGTAGTTGCCACCATCCAGGTTGCTCCCTTGCCCATTCTTAAACCTCACAACACAGCAGCAGAACACACCACACACTGAGAAAGGACTGGCCCCGCGCCCCGGGGCCAACCACGCGAGAGAGACGGTGTGGGCAGCGGGAGCAGCCCCGCACTCGGAGCCTGGAGCCCTCGTCCAACCATGGAGTAGCCCCGGCCAGTGTCTGCCCCTCCCCGGGCCTCGGTTTCCTTCTACGCACAACAAGGGGGTTGACCCAGCTGATCTGCCAACTTCCTCCCAGCTTTGCCCCTTAAAGGTGCCCAGGCCTTGCCAAATACTTATTATGGGCAGATGGGAATGACAAAGGGTGAGGCAGATGACCCCTGCTGGGAGGCCTGGTCTCCCGGGACTTACCATCGGAGTGTGGGGATGGGGGACCCGAAGAAGGGACAGTCCAGCCGTGTGCGGTTGTACAGGATCACCCGGATGAGCTGGTTCCGTGGGGACATCATGCGAGGCGGCACGTCTGCAATTCCCAGACAAGGGCTCTTGGGTGGGGGTCTCACTCTTCCACCCCTTTCCCGTTGGTCTTATCTCTACGTGCTTCCTCCCAACAGCAGCTTTCCAAGCGCCACACCTGCCCCTAACCACGTGGCTCCTCTAAAAAGCCTCGAAGGGGTAGGCGAGGAAGGAGGTAGCTTCCCTATTCCCGACCTACCCTCTTTCCAACCCAAATTATCCAGCAGGTTCTGCACCTGCCCCTCCACCGCCCCTCCCTGCTCCGGGAGTGCTGCAAACATCTCAGGACCCCTCCCGCTCTGCGACCCGCTGAGAGCCCAGGACAGTCAGCATGGACACCCCAAGGAGACGAGACAGAGACAGGCCCGCTGGGTGACACCAGGGAAGGAGGGACCGAGGCTGACTTCCGGCGGGGAATGCACTCTGTCTGCACACCCGGCTCTGTGGGTTTTAAGCCCTTCCTCCTCCCCACACATCTCATCTCCAGTCCCCACGCTTCCCCCGCCAGCCCGGCCGGTCTCCGGAGAGGAACGTGAGCCCACGCGTGACATGACCACCCGGAGAAGCGGCGCTGCAGGGGCGCGGGGGGACGGGACACGCACCCAGCACGCTGACGAAGGCGTTGGCCAGCAGGTAGCCGTGCTCGTTGGAGGTGTTGCACTGGTACACGGCCCTGCTGCTGATCTGCGTGTCCCGGAAGATGATGGTGTCCCCGGCCACCTCGCGGTTTGGGTTGGGCGGTGCCGCTACAGAGAGGAGAGACGCTTCTTGTGAGAAACGGGGGAGGGCAGGCGAGGGGAACCTGGGGCTCTGCGCGGGGCTCCCCAGCACGACGGGGTGTCACGGAGGCAGCAGCGCCGGAAGGCTCGCAGAAGACCCCGCTCCGGCCCCACCACCGTGTGGGGTGTGCATTTCTGGAGTTTATTTCTCAGTCTGTCCAACGGGGATAAGAATTCCTGCTCAACCTCCGTAGCAGCTGGGCAGGTGTGGCTTGACCCATCAGCTGTGGCAACAGAAAGGGGTCTGAGTTCTAACCAGATTCCTGCCAGCATCAGTTTCCGGTCGGTCGGCAGAAGGGGGTTAACTACCACCTTGTGGGGCTTTTATGAGGATGGCCTGAGCTTGCAGGCAGGTGTAAAGTCGCTGGCAGGCCCGGCCCCTACTGATGATCACTGTTGTGAATAGTTTAATGCAATGTGCATATACTTAAGTCTGCTCGGAAAAGGACGAAGCACCAAGGAACCAGGTAGGCCTGCCACTTGCCCATCCTCAGAGCAGAGCTTTCTGCAGACGTTCACCAAGTTACACCTGCTAAAGACCGCACAGTCCTTCTACCTGCCAAAGCTACCCCACGGTCCCAGGCAAGGTTTCCCACATGCAGAGGGAACATTCCACGCCCACGGGTGCATCCGGCTGGGAATCTGGGGCAAATCCAGTCTTTCTGGGCCTCATTTCCTTCACCTGCCAAATGGAGAGGCAGTACTCCCACCGCTCCCCTGTCTGGAGGGTTAGGAGAAGAGAAAGGTAACGGCTGTACAATACACGTTTTCTAGAAATGTTAAGAGCTGCCGCTTTTCTCATCTTTCATCACCGGAAGGTGACGTTCGTCTGTGAGATTTCCGGACTGGGCCAGAGGACTGGGCTTACTCAGTCCGTGAACTCATCCAGGATCGCTCAGACTGACCGCGGCAGTCGACCGAGGAGGACCCAGGGTCTGGCCCGTGGGCGCCACTCCCCAGATAGCGAGTCTGAGCCGGAACTGGGGAGTCAGCAGGCGGTAAGTGAAGTCAAGGTCAGCATCCTTATCACCCTTCCGCACTCAGCAAAAAGGCCCGAGGCAGGCAATGCCAGCGACTTAACGCCTTGCCCAGCGATGCTCAAGGCCCCACCTTTCCTCCGGTCACTCCCCGTAAGGGACGGGTGCCCTTTCCAGGGCCACGGCTCAGCTGCGAGTCCTGGGGGCTCTGACGTTTACAGCCTTTGTTTGCCTTGTCTCCAAAGGTTGTCAGGACAGGCACGTCCCCACAGGCACGTCCCTGTCTCTGCTGCGTCCAGGGGAGGGACAGTCACTGGGGATAAATGTGTGCTCAGTGCTAGGTGGTGTAGGCATGCTGCGTTCCCATAGCAACCCACAGCTTCCTCCTTACTGGCCACGTGACCTCGGGCAGTTCATGGCACCACCAGAGCCTTGCTTCTTCATCGTTAGTATGTGAAGTTAAAGAGAGAACAGGGCTGCAGCACCTAGTGCAGTCGCTGGAACACAGTAAGGGTCTAAAAAGGTGCTCTCACCCTCTCCTGCACCTGCCTCCCCTGCCTCCCTACTGGCTGCTCTTGAGTTAGGCTCTGAGTTCTCGCCATCTATTTTTTTTTTCCCCATCTGGTTGACATCACCTTTTGCATTCCCTCGGACCCTTAGAGAAAGTAATGACAGGACATTTTAAAAAGCAAATGCACCTGGAGAGAATGATGGGCCATCTTGACCAAGCCCTCTGGCTGAAGGGGCCTTGGACTCCCCTACTCCAGCCATCCAGGCAGGACGACCTCTCCCCAAGTCTGTGTACACCGGACAGTGCACGGCGGCTCTGTTCTCATGGGGAGGTGCTGCCTCATATCCGACCCGATCGTCCATATTGTCCCGTGACCCTGCCTCCTCGTTTGCCCTCAGCAGAAAGCGGACCTGGGCAGCCAACCACAACGGGTTACTGAGCTCTACTCTACCTTCCGAGCTCCAGACATCACTCAGAGCCCAAACTCTCAGGAGATGCAGCCGCAGACCCCAAACCTTGAACTGGGCTCTGTAGTTATTAAGGGCACAAAGCAGAGATTGATAAAGACCCCCAGGGAGCAGAAATGCCCTCAACACAGAGAAAACCCCAGGCCGCCCCCTGCCCTCTCATGCAGGCACAGGGCAGGTTTCCTGCCTCTTGAGGTGTCCGAAGAGGTGGCTGCTCCCTCACTTCTGGAACAACCAGGGGCACCACAGGGACAAGATCGGGAGCCTTTGATGGCAGAGAGAGCAGCCAGGGGAGACGAAGGCTAGTTACTCACATTGCAAAGGTTCCCCATTCACCATCCACTGGACAGTGGGCTTCGGGTTCCCATTGGCTCGACACACCAGCCTGCCATCCTCGCCTGGAGCCAGGATAAGGTTCTTGGGCTCGTCCAGCCAGTAGGGAGCGGCTGGAAGACAAGGGCAGCACAGGCAGGAGTTAGATGGCGCAGACGGCCTTCCTCAGGAGCCTCTGAGCGCCAGCCCAGCCCTCAGCGCCCACCCGGGCTCATCCTCACGGATGGCTCAGTCCAGCCTGCCTTTGGCCGGCTCAACACCAGAGATGCCGACCTGCCTATTTCGAGTTCACAGAACAAGAGCTCCAAACTGGGGCTGCTCATGAGAGTTCCCTGAACAGCTTTTAACCAACACGGAGGCCAGGGCCCAGCTCAGACCCACTGAATCGGAATCCTCAGGGGAGGCTCCGGGGGCAAATGCTTTAAGAGGTCCTGGTGTTCATGATGGGCACCCAGGGGCCCAGCCAGGGACGGTGGGAAGGCGGGCACTGGGTTGGCCCCTCTGGGTTTCTGTTGTTGCTGCAGCAAGATGAGACCTTTCAGGAAGGGCCTGCCACATACACTCTCTCTCTTAGGCACTGAGCTTTGGGTAGAGCAGAAGCTCATAGCTGCCCACCCCTTTCAACTGTTTGGAAAATTTCACAAATATATGGATACTAGAGGCCTGGTGCTTGAATTCATGCTCAGGTGGGGTCCAGCTGGCCCGACCTGATTGGGGCCGATCGGGGCCAGGACAGTGGAGTGGGGGGTGGGGCGTGGAAGGTCGGCTGGCCAGCTCCACCCCTGATTGGGCTGGGGGAGCCGATAGGGTTGGGGGGGGTGGCGATTGAGGCCACAATGCGCATCAAAGCAACCAGTCCTTCTGTTGGTTGCAGCGTTCTATTTTCTGAGAACAGGGTTCTTTGTACCAAAGCTCTTGATACCCCCTAAAAGAGTAAGAACCTCTGGTTTGAGTGGAGTGCTGAAACCAAGGTCACATGTTCAACTAAGTGTGTGCTAAGAAAGTTCTTGCACTGTGGGGTCAGACTTCATCACCCCAGTCACCCATCCGGCCCAGTGAGAAGTGACTGGTGTCCCCCTGGCACCCGTGGCTGGAATCCACAAAGGCACGTGTTCTATTGCTTATGAGAGCTCAGGTGGGCCAGCTACACTTTTAGGGGAGGGACGTGCCTTTAAAAAAATAATTTGGGCCACGATGACTCCCCATTTTTAAAAAGAAACAAGCACAGAACACAGACAGCACAGGGAGAAGATGACACACCGTGAACAGGAATGCAAAATGAAAAAGGAGAAGGCTCTGGGTGTGAATCAAACAGACGGTGACATTCACCTGCTGAGGGAGCCCTGGAGAGTTGCGCGATAGTCACATCTTCTTCCCTCAACACACCTCTCCCCTCTCTCTCGCTCTCTCTCGCTCTCTCTCTCTCTCTCACACACACACACACACACACACACACACTCACAAACACTCTCACCTCCAGGGTGACACCATCCCTGAGAGGTCACTATTGCCACCGACCAGTGTGATGCGTTTCCCCCGCGCACCCTGCCCCAGCCACCCCCAGAGGAAAGGGCGGCCGTGGCGTGTAGGGCTGGCAAAATCATCATAATGAGAAATACACACAACGTACCCTTTACTCTCACCGAGATCGTGTGCCGGATGCTGCCCATCTTGTTGGAGGCCAGGCAGAAGTACTCCCCCGAGTCTTCCTCAGACACGCTGGTGATGCGCAGAGCCTTGTTGAAGTTCTCGAACTTGGCCTTGTCCGATGGGAGGTCCCCGCCTTTCTTGTACCACGCGATGTCTGGTGTGGGGCTGGGAGAGGGACCGGGCAGGAAACAGGGATTTATTACAAACCGTGGCTCTGCAATTCTCCTACGGAGCCCAGGGGTCCTTAAAGGTGCATGGGCCCAGGGATACCTGTCCTCCGACAGCTGTTCTCATACAGAGGGTGGCTTAGCACAGAGCATCCAAGGCCACAGAGATGCTAACCTGTGCAGCACGCCCGCCCATCTCCTTTCCTCGCTATCCAAAGAGAGATGGCCAGAATGGGATGCAGAGGGCTATGCTTTGCAAAGTCCTCACTAAGGGCTGTGTGCTTCTCCATCTATACCCTGGCGGACAGAGCACGCACAAACTCCCTCCCAGCCTCCTGAGGGGGGCGGCCAGAAGTGGGGTGAAGTGGTACGTACACCCCGGAGGCGATGCACTCCAGCAGCAGGTCCATGCCGCGCAGCACCATCTGACTGCTCGCGGTGCCCTGGGGGTACATGAAGCTGGGGGTTCTTTCTGAAACTCCTCGAGCTGAAATAGGACAGAACAAGATGGCTGAGCCTCCTGCCCGGGGGCTGACCCAGATAGGCCAAGGCTGTCAGGCTACGAAGAGATGTCATCTCGCCTGGCTGTCCCCCTTCCCTCAGAGGCACCAGCGCCCGCACCCTCCCAGCCGAAACCACCCGAGGGCTAGGCTTCATTAAGAGAGTGTGTTAGGAAGCTCGGGCTCCTGGGCACCATGGGCACATGTGTGAGCAGCTCTGCTTCTGAAAGGACCTGCCAAGAGGAGCCGCTTCCCTCCCCGGTCCCTGGAAAGGGGGTGGGGCTGCCTGAGCTGCGAGTGGTTTGTTTCCTGAGCATCTTGTGTTGGGACCTCAGAGGCCAGTTGGGTGGACCCTGGGAGGCCATCTCAGCAGCAGTGGGAGAAAGGGAGGGACACCCTGGGGCCACAGGGCAGACAAGCTGCTCTTGGGGACCCTGGAGACAGGAAGCTGAGATGAAGCCACGAGACCCCGATGAACAGTCAGAGGTGTGGGGAGCGTTACTCATGGGTTAACAAAGACATGGGGAGAATTAATGAGCAGAGATGACAGGAAATCACTTCTGGGGCCAAGACCATTCGGCTGCATCACTAATGACTGCAGAAGGGGGCCGGGCAGGCGGGTGTGGGTTACACGTGAGGCGCTGGGGGAGGGGATCTGCAATTCAAGGAGGAGGACTAGCCATAGGCTGTGAAGTTAATGACGTACACAGGTGTGAAGCCAGGTGGCCCGCAGAGATGGACACTGTCAGGGTGGCCGTTTCCCAGTGGGAGGGGTCGGGCGAGTCTGGGCAGAGTGGAGCCCGCCCTCCTGAGCTCAGGGCTCCCTCAGGGCTCTGTGTAGTTCTGTTAGTTGGATATGATGGAAGGAAGAGGAGCATGGAGTTTCCAACCAGGAGCTCAAAGCACAGGGAGCCTGAAGAGGCGCCTCTGCCCAGAGGGGTACAAATAGACATACACGTGAGCCTACTCATGGGCTTCCTGGGTCTCCAACTCAGTGGAGAGGGGGAAGGGGGAGGAGGGCAGACCTGCCAGGAGCTGGGAGCCCTCAGAGTGCCCACACACAGAACAAAGGCATTTTTCTGGGCGAAGCCTGTTAATGGAGGCTGGCAGAGAGAGGACAGTGTGACCGGGGCACTCTCTGACACTGGGGTTTCCTAAAGGAGCTTGCTGGACTAGCTGGTGCCTGGCTGGATCAGCAGAGTCTAGTCCCAGGGGCACTCAGCTTCTTTCCATTAGCCATTTCGTAGAGTCTGCGCCTGTTTTATCCCTTTGTCAGGGGAAGAAATGATGAAACGCATGCAAAGGTAGTTAGGCGGCTGGAACAACACATGGCATATAGCAAGTGCTCAATAAACACCAGTGGGGTGAATGAGTTCAAGGGTAGAAGAGAACAAAAAGAAGGCAACAAGCGACCCCCCGCCATGTTATTCCTCCTGCTGTAGATGTCCTCCTCTGTCCCACCAGCACACACATTTACCACGGTGGCTACTGAAGGGGTTAATCCATTATGTGGTTAATTGGTTACCCTCCATATATCTATAACTCTTACAGCATCCAGCTCGCGGTACCAAGGAAGCTGATACCAAAGCAGCAGCTTCCTCCCACCCATCGTCACGGGATCACCCAAACAGACAACACAAGGTCAAGGGCACCAGGAGGAGAGGGAGATTTCAAGCAGGAGGCTCTCCTGTCAGGAACCCTAGGATTATGTAGAAGAGGTCCCAGCTCAGGTAGCATACTCCCTCCTGCAGGGACGCCATCTGCAGAGACCGATCTGTGACCCTGTGGACATTTAATTCACACCACAGCACACAGCACCACAAGCACGCATGACCAGCAAAGCATTCAGTGTGGGAAGGAGGAGGAGAGAGCACAGAGTCCCACTGTGGGTGCCTTGACACCCTGTAGCTGTGACTATAAAATGGTGACCGTGCCCGGCCAGAGGGGCTCAGTTAGTTGAGCGTCGTCCCATGCACCAAAGTGTTGCCGGTTTGATTCCTGGTCCAGGCACATACCTGGTTGCAGATTTGACCCCCAGTTGGGGAGCATACGGAAGGCAACTGATCAATGTTTCTCGCTCACATTGATGTTTCTTTCTCTCTCTCTCTCTCTCTCTCTCTCTCTCTCTCTCTCTCTCTCTCAGCATGTCCTTGGGTGATTAAAAACAAAGGTTATAGCAATACTTTATGTGTAAAATGTGGGCTAGCAACCACAGAATTATCCTCCAAGGGGAGAAGCCACTGGGAAATAAGCCAACGCTCAATATAGGGACGAGCACCCTAGAAGTCAAAGGTAATCATTGGGGCCGCCACTGGGTGAGCCTTCACTATGGACCAAGCACTGCGCCAGCACCTCTATCTACATCCTCGTGTTCAATCCTCACAACAAACCTGGGGATATCACCCCCATTTTCAGCAGAGAAAACCGAGGCTCAGCGAAGTCAGCAGATGTGCCAAGGTCACCAGCAGTTATGTTTTGTATTCTGGACCATTTAGCCCCAAAGCTTTTGTTCTAACATCTACTCTGTATTGCCTCTCTCTTTAAAGATGGATTCCTCGCGTATCCCTACAGCTTTGGGAATGTTTCCTGTTCAAAGAAAAACAAAATTCAAGGGCAAAAGAGGTGAAGGAGGAAGGTGTTTTCGTCTTAGTTTCGGTGGTGAAACTCACCCACTGTGTTTTCCTCAGATATTGTTCCCACTGTCTCGGGCAAGAAGCCATCTCTCCTCGGTGACTACTAAGTACACTCAGGCCCGAGTGGGGAAAGAAGCTGGGCTGGGAACTAAGAGGCTCCAAAGGCATCTCAACTGGATTCTTAAGACCACGAAAAGCTGCAAGAGGCATCAGGGTGACATGTGATATCATCCGGGACAAGAAGGCCGGTCCAAGGGGAGGTTGTAGAGATGGGGTCAGCTGCAGCAGGAGGTGTTTACATAAAAACTTCCGAAGCACTGCCCTGGCCAGATGGCTCAGTCGGTTGGAGCTTTGTCCCGTACACCAAAAGGTTGTGGGTTCGATTCCTGGTTAGGGCACATATAGGAGGCAACCAATCAATGTTTCTCTCTGACCCTGATGTTTTTATCTCTCTCTAAAAAATAATAAAAATAGTTCCTCGGGCGAGGATTTAAAAAAATGTATAAAAGATAATCCAGCTGCTGGAGAAGTAGACCCAGGAAGAATCTTTGAGACAAAGGTGCTTACTACACGAGGGTCTACGAGACGCTAATGGAAGATGACCGTTTCCAGGAGTGACATAGGACACCCTCTTTCACCACGGAGGCGGGGATCCCCTGTCCAGCTGATGATGTTCCTGATTTTCAGGGCTGGGTCGACCCAATACCTGATTGAACTCAGAACCCAGAAGGCGATTTAGGGAGATCTTCCATGTGGGCCCATCTGACCTTTAGCCCAAGGGCAGTCTCTGCTCTCCTGCTCTCACAACTGTGGCTCCAGAATGGGCATACGGGCTTCCACAGGTCAGCCGGGGACATTAGGCCATTAGGCCTCAAACACCCTGACTTCAGGGGCCAACAAAAATGCCTCCATTGTCTCCTGCAGGAGGAAAGGTCGAGGCTGCGGAACGCCCGAGCTGCTCCCCTCTGTCAAGGGCTGTCTGTTAGCAGAGGAGGGTTCAGTGGATCAGATGTACCCAAGAACCTTTGCCAAAAACAGCTCTGAGGGGCAGCCGGATTCTCCGTTTGCTGCTTTCAGTTCTCGGAACTGAGGACTCGTGGGCTGCATCCCTGGCATCTCACCCACTCTCTGGCTCTAGGAACAGCTGACCAACCACCCCAGACAACAAGAAAAACTCCTTATCTGGTAACATCTGCTCTCTCCCGCTGCCGGGAAGTCCCTTTGCAAGTCTAACTCAAACCTCTCAGGCAGCGGTGAGGGCTTTTTCTTCCCCAGCTCTCAGCACCAAGGAGATCCGAACAGCTTTTGTCTTTACAGTCTGCCCTGAAGTTTCTCCCTCCACAGTAGCTTCTTCCCATGACTGTGCCTACCTTTCTCCCCTTGGCGTGCCTTCAAGGAGTCGCATTTATTCCTAATGTCAGAAGCGTAGGACAGTTATACTTCAGACAGTCAACACTAAACCATTCCCTTCAATCTCACTGGTGCACCTGACCCCATGCCAGGAACCATATGTATGTCACCCTATTTAATCTTCACCACGAAACGGTGGGGCAGGTAATAGACCCTTTTTTTTTTAAAAAATATATTTTATTGATTTTTTACAGAGAGAAAGGGAGAGAGATAGAGAGCCAGAAACATCGATGAGAGAGAAACATCGATCAGCTGCCTCCTGCACATCTCCTACTGGGGATATGCCCGCAACCCAGGTACATGCCCTTGACCGGAATCGAACCTGGGACCTTTCAGTCCGCAGGCCGACGCTCTATCCACTGAGCCAAACCGGTTTCGGCAATAGACCCTTTTTGCAGATGAAAAGGTCTGACACGCTCAATGACTTGCCCTGTGTCCATCAATGGTGCATCCCAGAGCCCAGGTTTAACTCATGGCAGTCTCCTTCGGCGTGCACACTCTCATCTTCCTCGTCTCCTGGTCTGGGTAAGTTCTAAGTGGCAAGTCAGGGGGCATTGGGCATAAGAGGATACCAAACCACTGCAGAAACCACTAGAACGAAATGAATTATGGGAGCGGGGTAGCCCCACTGCTGCAAAAGGGACCTGCCATGATTCACAGCCAAGCACAGCGATGCACTGGACATTCCTCATCGCACGATCTCTCTGCCAGGTCTCTCACTCAGGAAGGACCTTATCTCCGTTCCTTTCTTTTCACTTCCTCTTTCTTTCTAGAAGCATCCAACACAGCTGTCCTTTGTTCAGCACGCGCCTCACTTTGACTTTACAACCTTCCTAGCTGCCGTCATGCGTGGCCAGCCATTCTACCTTGAATTCAAGAGAAGGGGTCCCTCTCATGTTGAGGCAGGACAGTAAGAAGCCAGGAAAGTTCCTCAGCGAGTGGGA